ACATGCAGTAATCAATAGATTACAAAAAGGTATACATTCTAATTTTTCAGAAATCAAATAGGAAGTAATCAAAAAGAGGTAGACGGTTATTGAATAACCCTCCGCAGTGCTACGATTTCAAAAATGCGACCTGATCATTTTTTTTTAGGTTTTCTAAAACACTATTTTTAAAAACAGGCTCTAATACTGGCTGAAATAACTAGATCGACATGAGGGGGGTGAATTGTGAAAACTTTGTAGCAATAATTAAACCCAAAGTAGGAATTCTAATTTTTTTGATGTTTTAAAATTTTTAACATGAAGATTTAAACTACTACAAAGACAAACCAACTGAACTCAATGTGCAACAATAGAATCCCTTTATTCCACAAATTTCACCAAGAAAATATTATGAAAATTAAGTGCAAGCAAAAGTAAATAGCGATAAGGAAAAAGAACATCAAAATTTTATAGTGGTTCGGTCAAAACCATGACCTACGTCCACTTACCGGAGTCCTTCTCTCTGGGAATTTCATTACAAACAGTAGATGTCCTTTTTTCTCCCTCGGCAAGGTGGAGAAGCCCTTACAATACTCCCTTTCACCAACCCGTAGTGGCGGAGTGCCAAGCACTATTTTCACCCTCCTATTGACGGCAGAGTACCTCCTTATTTTTCTCCCTCCTGGAGAAGGTAGAGTACCATCCAGGTCATGAATATAGAAGAGTCTCCTGCTCAGAGAGCCTCCCAAAAGTTCTTTCGAGACCACAGGAGGAGTAAGATGCAAGAAGAATGGAGCAACCATGTGATCTCCCTCGCACCTTTTCATCCCTCACTAAGCTCACCTTCTCCTTCCTATCTCAAACCCTAAAAACTTCTCAAGAGATCTCTCCTAAGGATTTCTTCTCTAATCACATTTCCTCCTTTTCTCTATCTCTCTCTCAAAAAGATTACTAATTTTAATACATAAAGTGGGCTCCAAAATCCCTGAAATTTTTGAAGTAGCTGATTCAATCATATAGTACGATTTCACATTGTATAGTACGATATGTATAAACAGGCTTCGTCTTAGTATGAAGTTGTACGAACAGTTCAAAATCTAATCATTTGGTACGATCCTCAACACTACTGCTCGTACAAGACGATAGCCGGGACGATCAAATATCATCTCTATTCTTCATATGGTATGATATACATCGTACAATATGAATGGTCAAAATTAAGGCATCATCCAGGATGAATTTCGGGATGATCAAATGTCATCTCTGTTGATCATATGGTACGATTGAAATTGTACAGTATGATGCGACAAAAAATGAGGGATCGTCTAGGATGATATCCGAGATGATCAGAATTCATCTCTGTTCATCGTATGGTACGAATGTGTTCATATAGTACGATTTTAAATTAGTAATTAAGCCTTGATTTATTTCACTAATCACGGGGTAATTTAAGTAAGTATTTAAAATAAATTATACAGTACGAACGACTGAGAAAAACTTACTTAAGTTAAGTTGACGGCTAGGGTTTTCGATTTGGAACACATTGTACAGTATGATAGTATTCGTACGATACGATCAATTAACAGAAATCATTTTACAAGCTCAGATCATATAATATGAAATAAAGTCGTACAGTACGATCACCAAAGAAAAAAATCTATATTTTTTTACTTTTAAAACCCTCTCCCTCTGTGTGTGTGCATGGTTACTCAGACTTACATGCAGTTTGTGTTCAGACTCAAGAAAATAAAAAATAAAATAAATAATGGTTCACAACACAGGAATTCATAGATGATAAATTAAATTCTATCCATGGAGTTAAGGTAAATGCTAAGATGAAAAAGCCATTAATCATCAATGAGGGAGGTTTTCTTTTGAAGAAACTAATTACTGAAGTTGCTGCTTTTTTTTTCTTGACAATTGCAGAAATTGCATTAACGAAAAAAGGGAACTATTACAAGCTATAACTCTCATAGTCCCTCTTCAATAAAAGATATAAAGAAGAAGGAAAATCAGAGGAAATAAGGGAATCAAAACAAAAACTATTCTTTAAAGCAATAGAAGCACATAAATATGCAACTTTATTGCAATTCCTAGAGGTATGATTAAAGATGACCTTATTGAAGTCGTGAAGGAAAGAAATCTTCTCAGAAATTCGGTTGTTCTTTCAATTCGTCACTAAATAATGTTGAAACTGTATGACATTATAGTTATCTCCTTCAATTATTAGCCCATTGTAATCAAACATCCACTCTTTAATGAAGTCTCTTAACGAAAAAACTGCTTCAAGCTCAAGTTGATTGATGTCCCAATAAAGTCTCTGTTTTCCAAAGGCTAGTAATAGTCTACCCTTATAATCCCGAGCAACACCTCCAACACTGGCTAGATTTGAGTTTAGTAAAGATGCGTCCACATTTATTTTAATCCAATCTAGAGGTGAGGGATGCCAAGAAGTTTCAAACTCACAATGGAGGGAAGCATCCCAGTTGACTAGCAATGGATTGTTACTGGTAGCAGAGAACAGAGTGGAAGCAGCTGCCACCGAAACAGGCATACTATTTGTACCATGCTTAACATCATTCCTATAATTCCAGGAAATGAAAACTGCTGTACAATAAATCTTGACAATATTCACATTAGAGCTGGTGAGGTTACGGAGCTGATGAAGGCAGTCATCAAGCAAACAAAAGACTGGAATAAAGAACCCCCAAGATCTCAACATATTAACAATTTCAATAAGAAATTTACAGTGGACTACAATATGAGACCCATTTTCCACTTCAGGACATCCACAAGCACATTTATCACAGTTGCTAAGTTTTCTAAAATTTAAGAAATCCTTAGTAGGGATAGCAAACCTACTAAGTCTCCAACCAAAAAAGCTCAACTCTAGGCTTAAGCTTCAGTTTCCACAGCCACTTAGCGAAACCAACATCATCATAAAAATTTTGAAACTTAATACTTTCAGAATAAGATAATGAAGAAATGGATTTACCAGAAAGTTGGAAGAGCAACTCCATGATATCTTCTTCCCCTTCATTTATAACACGGTGGTGTATTATAAGATCAATCATGCTGCTATTAAAAAACCGTGAGAGCTTAAGAAGATTCCAGTTTCCGTCTTCAGTGATGAAGTTTTGCAGCATCAGATTTTCTAGTCCATTACAGTCAGCTATCATAGGCCATTTGTTGAAGCATTTGTCAAGTAACCATATGTCATTCATGACATTAATATTTTCCCCATTAACAATCTTCCACTGGACAATTGGTTTGAGAGAGGAAGCTCCAATTAGAATTATTGTCCGAGCAGCAGAATGACCATAGGTTGATTTTTCACCGTGAATGACAGAGCCATATTTAGCTGACATACACTTATATAAAAGAGAGGAAGGATTATGAAAAAGCCTCCAAGCAAGTCTTGCATGTAGGGGTCCAACTTTTTTAACAGCTGAATACATTCCCATTACACCGTAAGCTCTAGGAGTGCAAAGATTATCCCAAGCAATGTAATGAAGACTTTTATGTCCTAGCTTGTGATGCCATATATAATCCCTGCATATTCGATCTAATTCAAAAAGAATACTCTTAGGGATCAAAGAATGAGTCGAAATAAAGGAAGGCAAGGATAACAAAGAAGTCTTAGCTAAAACAACTCTTCCAGCCATATAAAGAAATTTAGCACCCCAAGAATTGAGCTTATCAAGTGCATGATCTACCATAAATTGGAAATCATTTTAGTTCAAAGTTCTGAGAGCAAATTTGGTTCCCAAATATTGAAGATCATTTACCACCTTAAACCCAAATTTATTGCCAAGTTTCCGTTTTATATCAGCTCTGACAAATTTTCCGAAGAAAATTTGTGATTTGGAATGATTCAAGCTTTGCCCCGTCCAGCTACAGTAAGCTTTTATTAACTTCATCATAGCTTTCAGTTGGGAGGAAGAGGCAGTACCGAACAAAAGCACATCATCGGTGTATAATAAATGAGTAATTTTAGGCGCTTTTGGAGATGTTTGGATGCCCAAAAGAGATCCTCTTTGCTTGATAACACTTGAAAGAAGTTGAGACACATGATAAAGAGATAAGGTGACAATGGGAACCCTTTTCTAAACCCGCTTTTTGCATCTATCCAACTAGTGGCTTTACCATTCAAAAGGATGGAAAATCTTACATTAGTAACACATTCCAAAATGAAGGATGAATATTTTGCCGGGAACCCAAACCAATCAAGAACATGCACCAAAGTCTTTCAACACATGCTATCGAAAGCTTGGGCCATGTCAAGTTTAACAGCCATAAGACCTTTCTTATTTTTTGAAATTTTAAATTTGTTGAAAATTTCAAGGGCAAGAAGGCAATGGTCTGACATCGATCTACTTGGTATGAAGGCAACCTGCTCCTCTGAAATAAGCTTGGAAATGCAACACTTTAACCTGTTAACAATCATAGTTGAGGCTATTTTGTAGATAGTTTGACATAAACTAATTGGACGAAATTAGAAGGCAAGATCGGTGAGGTGATCTTGGGGATGAGAACAACCAAAGTGTCCTTCCAAGCACCATTCATACGGCTAGTGGTAAAAAACTTATTTATAGCTTTCCAAGCAACTTCTCTTATGATCTCCCAATAGAATTTAAAAAAAGAGGCTGTAAAACCATCTAATCCAGGGGATTTATTAGATCCTTGCTAAAAAACTATAGTGTAGAACTCAGATTCAGTCAATTCCGCATCCAATAGGATTTTATCATCTGATTCAGTTCAGCATAAGGCCAGTCCATAAAATTTCAATGTCGAAGCTTCCACTTGTCTTTAAAGAATTTCAAAAACATTCTCTCAATATCTTCAATATCTTCCACCATTTTGTTATTATCATCCTTAATTTGTTTAATTAGATTACCATTTTTCCTGGCTGTAGCATGGGCATGAAAAAACCGAGTATTAGAATCTCCCTCCTCATTCCAGTTGGTCTTGGCTCTTTGATTCCACCACGTAGAGATTCTAAGCAAAGTGACATTTAACTCTCAGACCTTACTTCTTAAAAGAGTAAGATTATCTGAACCTAAACTTCCTTCCTCGTCTTCTTGTTTTTGCAAGTTAAAAATGTTTATTTTTAAATCTTCTTTTAACTGGTTCAGGTTTTTGCAGGTATTCTTATTCCAAAAGAAGAGAGATTTCGAGGATCTCTTTATCTTCCTATTAAGAACATCAGCTTCATCTCCGTAGTCATTTTTTCCCCAAGCCTTTGCAACAATATTCCAAGTGGCTGCATATGATTTCCAGGTGTCTTCAAATCTGAAAATTTTGGTTGAATCCCGAGTAGAGTTCTCAAGGTAAAAAGAAATGGGGCAGTGATCAGAAGAGATCCTAACTAGGTGCTGAATGGATGCAGACGGGACTAGCTGTAGAGCAAGAGAATTTAGCAAGCAACGGTCCAAGCGTTCCCAAATCCTGGCAACCCCTTGCTTATTATTACACCATGTAAATTTAGGAACGATCGCACCAAGATCATGAAGATCATGTTTAGCCATGAAGAAAAATTGATGTTGCTGCTTAGGGGATGGGAATTCTGCTGAAAGAAAATCTAGAGATTTTTGGTTTGTCTGGAAAGGTTCTGCTGGTTAAGGGAGAGATGGTGTATTCTCCATCATCAAACTTCAATACTGAAACTTATAAAGAGTTTACTGCTGCTAGAATGGTTTCTGTAAGTTGTGAGAAGGGAGGTTCTCAACCAAAAGATGCTATTGGTATGAATGAATCTGATGGTTCTGGAATAAATAAGGTTATGGCAGTTCAAGGTAATATATAATCGGAGATGGAGGAGGTTCGGAAATGCTTAACAGGTGATTTGGGTAGATGTGATGAAGTTATTATTGATTTGCCTAAATGGCCTAATTTAGGAAATCATCAGAATGTTTGGGTTTAAAAAAGATAATATCAGAGTTGATGAGTTGGAATTTGGCAACTGCATATCTGAGGATGGAAAATTAGTCAAGATTCTTGTGGAAAAAGTTTAGAGAACACTAAGAAGCTTGATAAATCCTTGGTGGTTAAAATATTTGGTGGAGATGTTCCATTTTCTTCAATTATCTTGGAATTGAGGAAGCAGTGGGCATAATAGGGAAAATTCAATCTCACAGTGCTTAGAAAGGGATGGACTCTATGTTCGTTCTATGAACCTGAGCATATGGAAGATGTTCTAACTAATGGCCCATGGTTTGTCAATGGAAACATAGTGGGGATTGAAAGATGGACCCAAAGGTTTGATCCTAACTCGCTTAAAGGACTTTCTGCTCCAATTTGGATCAGGTTGCCCAACTTACCACTGCATTGTTGGGATGACATAAATATATATCATATAGCATCCATGGTGGGCAAGCCTATTTTATTGACGGCAATATGTTTTAATGGTCGAGAAGAAAATTTGGGAGTGTATGTGTTTGTATTGATTTGGATGCTAAGTTACCTACATTTGTTTGGGTAGAAGGAGAAGAAGATAAATTCTTTCAGAGAATTGAGTATGAGAGGCTGCCTAACCTTTATTTTGAATGCAGGAAAATTGTCCATAGTAAAAATGATTATGCCAAAGTCATCATTGAGAACAGGGTAAAGTCTATAAGGCCTATAAATTCAATTTCTACTAATATGGTGGAAAATGGAACTGCTGAAGGTAATCAAAATTTGGGTAGAGATGGGTTTATTGAGAAAGAAGAATATGGACCATGGATGTTGGTAAAGTATGGGAAGAAAAAATTAAACTATACTATGCCTAGAAGACCAATTTCTCTAGTTCACTGTAGGAGTAACTTTGTGCCTTTGAAGCAAAGTGATAAAATAAAGGAAGTAAGCAAGGTAGACAAGCCAATTGAAGATCAAAAATCTGAGCAGCAAAATCTGTCTGGTTGTAAATCAGATATCTTAGAGGTGGAGAAAAAAAAAGGTCAAGTGGTTATGGAGCCTGTGAGATTTAATGATGGGAATTGCTTCAGTGCACTCGTGGATCTGGAAGAAGGAGAGTTTATTCAATCAATAAATGTTGTCACAGGTTATGAGGAGGTAAATACATGTGATGGTAACAATGTAATAGTAAATTCTATAGGGAGGGAAGATAAAGAAGGTTCTAATTTAATATAATATGAAACTTTGAATACTAGAAGTGAAGGGAAGGTGGACTCTTCTCAACCTAAAAAGAAGAAAATACCAAAATAGTTGAGGAAATTGGGACCAATCAACTCTTCATTAAGAAGCCGGAGATTGGAGCATTAAGGGAAAGGTACTTTGTGGAATAATCTCCCCAATCTCACTTATTGTATTCTATATCTTTTTGGAATTGTAGAGGAGTGCTTCTCTATACCTTAGGGAATTTGTTAAAAATAATTGAGTGTTCTTTTCGGGTTTTGTAGAAACCAAATTAACTGATATAGATAGAAGTGGGATTAATAATATGATTGGCAATGAATAAGACTTTTTCTTTTTTGCTTCATCAGGGTTACCTGGTGGCATTTTAATTCTATGGAACTCTAATCATGCTAAGTTCTCGGTGGTGGATATTTCTTGTCAAGTAGTTATTGGAGATCTTAAAATGTTCAACAAAAGTATGTGTAGGGTGGCCAAGATTTATGGAAGTAGATAAGTGCAAAAGAGAAGGGATTTATGGGATATGATAGACAAGTATTCCATTAGAGATTTACTATGATAATAGGTGAAGAATTTAAATGTATAATGGGCAAAGAGGATAAAATAGGAGCTCAAGAAAAATATGATATGAAAAAATGCTTGCTCAATAATGATTTACATGAAGTTAAGTTCATTGGGCCTAAATACACATGGTGAAACAATAAATGTGGTGGAGCAAGGATACTTGAAAGATTGGATAGGTGTTTTATCAACTCTACTGCATTGAGATCACCACACCATTTGGTTGTGAGGCATTTGGCTAGGATAGCCTCGAACCAGTATCAAATCATTTTGAATTTTTTGAATTTTAACTCAATCTCTAAAATGAACATCAAGTTTGAAAACTGTTTGGCATCTTATCAAGCATCATTTGACGTGGCGAGAAAGGAATGGAGCAAAAATTATCAAGGTAGTTGTTCTTAAGTTCTCAATAAGAAATTTAAAGGTCCTTTATGTTTTTGTTCTTTTGGATCAAGTCTAAGTTAAAGGATCGTAACAAGCTTAAAGATGATCTTATGAATGAGATCATGGAACTTCAAAACAAAGAATCTTCAAATGGGTCTATCTCAAAATTTGATTATTGGAGTCTTAAAGCAAAGGTCAATGAATTAAATTCAACCATGGCTAGATTGAATTCTTGATGGAAGCAAAGAGCTAAAGTGAAGTGGTTAAATGAAGGAGATGGGAATTCAAAATTCTTCCATTCCTATGCTAGTGCTAGACGAAACTCCAATAAAATTGTCAAAGGATGAGAATGGGTTTTTGGTGGAAGAACAAGACTAGATGGAAGAAGTTTTCTTTTGATTTTTTTAGAAAAAATGGGATTCAAGAAGTTGTAAGCTAGATGGATGGCTAATTTCTGATATTTGCCTGAACAAATGGAACATGGAATTCCTAGAGGAAGATTTTACTATTTAAGAAGTAAAATGTGTTCTGAATCAATTGGGAGGTAATAATACACCTGGTAATGATGGAATTTCAAACTCCTTCATCAAAGCATATTGGGGCATTATTAAAATTGATTTTTTGAAGGCAATAAGTCATTTCCTTTGCTGTGGGGAGCTGAACAAAGAATGGAAGGAAACATTGATTGTGCTTATACCGAAGGTATCAAATCCTATTCTCCCATTTACCTATAGACCAATAAGTCTATGTAATATTGTGTACAAGGGGGCGGCAAGGGTAATATTGAACAGACTAATTATAGTTATTCCAAAGGTTATCTCTAAGGAGCAAGCAGCATTCATCAAGGGGAGATCTTTGTCTGACCATGTGTTGGTGGCAAAGGAAATGTTTCACAAACTAAGGTTCTTAAAAGCTGCTAAAGGTCTTATATCCTTCAAGGTAGACATGGATCAAGCTTTTGATTCCATGTCTTGTTCTTCTCTTAGGAAAGTGTTGGAGTATTTTGACTTTCCTATAAAGATATCCAAACTCATCATGGAGTGTGTTGAAGAACTAACATTTTCTTTAATCATCAATGGCAATTTCTCAAATTGGATTCAAGCTAAGAGTGGTTTTTGGCAAGGGTGTCCCTTGTCTCCTCTCCTTTTTATACTTTGCTCTTAACTACTTTAAAATGCTTTTGCTCAAGGCTCTTATGGTATCAAGTTCAACTCTGTTGGGCCGAGAATTTCCCATTTACTTTATGTAGTTGATGTGATAATGTTTTCTGAAGCTAATAGGAAGGTTGTTAAGGCAGTTAAGAACATATTAAATAACTTATGTGAATGGACTGGCCAACAAATAAATAATAGCTAATCTACCATGTTTTTTGGTAAACATGTGAATAGAAAGAAGAAGAAGAAAAGCATCTCATGAATAATGGGTTTCAAAACGGTAAAAGAATTCAACTACCTTATATTGAAGATAACTTTAAGAAGACTTACAAGTGATGATTTCCAGTTCATTATAGATAGAGCCTTGAGGAAGCTTTATCTTTGGGGAAGTAAAATCTTATCTCTTACGGGTAAGTTGATATTTGTAAAATCTGTAATGTTATCTTTCCCTACTTTTCATGCTACACATTCACTTGTCCCAAAATGAGTGTTGGAAGAACTTGACAAAATTTGCATGAACTTCATTTAGATTAAGAAGAATGGATCTATGGGGTTGCACTATGTTAGTTGGACTGAATTATGCAAACCAATTAGAAGAGGTAGCTGAGGGTTGCATTCAAATGTCAAGAAAACTCCTACTTTGAGAGCTAGATTGGCATGGAGATTCATACAAGACAAATACTCTCTTTTTCACAAGTTTCTCCAGCCCAAACGGTGAAAGGCTTGACAAGGGAAGCGGTAGAGGTAGATGCTCTTCATCTTGGAAATTATTGAATGATGGATGCAAAATGCTGAAACCAATTGTAAGATGGTCTTTAGTGAATGGAGATTCAGTAGATGCATTTGAAGATAATTGGATATTGGATAAATGTATTAATATGTGGCCTACGTTTGTTGTTCACATGAGGATGGAGCTGTATTTGTCAAAGACTTCATACTTGATGGTTTTTGGAATGAACTGGTGCTGCTGGAAACTTTTGGAAGGGAGCTAGTAAATTTGATCATACAAATAAAGATTATACAAGATGGGGAGGAAGATCAAATGGAGCTGATTCATAAAAAATCTGGAATATCTATTACTGGATTAGCCTTTAATGCTTCGGTGCAAGAGAGTTATGATTTTCAGAATTGGGACTGGATCAAAAATGCTAAGCTGAATGCTCTGATGGAAGTGTTTTGGTGGAGATTAAGTATAATTGAAATCCTATCTCTTTAATTTTTATGTTGTAGAAGACTCCTAGAGAATGCCAATTATCCTAGGGGATACAATGCAATTGAAGATGTTGAGAATATTA